GTGCAGGATTTGAGGTGGGCGGGGCGGAGGGATTTTAAGAAGTTTGTGAAGAAGGGCGAGGTGGGGAGTGCTGTGGCGCGGAGGCGTGCGAGGCCCGTTGAGCTCGTCATTAGCGAGGAGCAGGACTACAGCGGTACGTTCACACATCCTCCCTCCGCACCCTTCACACTGATTCTGACTTCACAACCATACAGACGCCTGGCCGCAAAAACAACCCTCCTTGGCCGACGTAACGCTCGACACGTCCTCCGCCGCCACACCCGAGCCGCCCCGCCCACGCACCAAAACCCAAGCCCGCACCCAACCCCAAACCCAAACCCAAGGAGGCCGCACGCGCAACAACCGCTTCGCATCCGCCGCCGCCTCAGACTCCGACTCCGACTCCCCACCCCCCATCCGCGCCCCCGGGCCGTCCTCACGCACAACCCAAACCCAAACCCAACGCTCCTCCCGCTCCAAAGCCAAGTCCAAAACACCGCTCTTCGACATCGGCTCCGAAGAAGAAGACGAGATGCTCGCCGACCCGAACGCGAACGCAGACGAAGACGAGGATGATCAGGACGAGGTGGAGACGCTGCGCGAGGCGAGCGAGCCGCCTGCGGGGAGGGGCGCGAAGAGGAAGGCGGCGGCCGTTGCTGTTGTTGATGAGGATGATTCTGACGAGGCGACGTTTAAGGGATTTGGGAGGGGGAAGGGGAGGAAGAGGGGACGGTTTGGGTAGAGTTGGGTTCGTTTGTGCGGTGGATTCAGATGGATTGGGTTTCTTGATTTGCTGTCTCTTCTTGTCGTTTACATACGGTCATTGTAATACTGCTGCTTGATTTGAATGATGTAGATACTCATCCATAAGAGAGGCCCAGTGCTGTGTCCTGACTAGCGAGCGCCTGGCTGTCAAGTGAGAGCACAGCGCGACGCGTGACGTCACGCGTGCACCGTCGATCAACGCGCCTGTCGCGACGCGCGTCTTTCTCTTGCTCCTAACCACCACGACGCGTCCGAGCTCCCTGCGCATTTTATACCACACCATTTCGACTCCCTTCTGATACCGCGCGAGACTATTATATGCATGCTATACAATTGTTATGCCCCATCATTCAGTCAGTCGTGCGCGCTACGCAAGATGTCTCAGCCCCGACAGTACTGCTTCCTTGTGATGCATCTCTTGAGGCTGGCGATGCGCTTATGGTACGACTTCAGTACTGGACTGATCTACTCCTCAGCTAATGTAGCCAAGGTCTAGAGCTACGAGTAAGGTCTGGAGCTGCGAATAGGGTCAGCGCTGTACCATGTCTTGGACTGCTCAGCACCAATCAGCACCGTCGACCTCCAGCCGGCGTCCCCGATACCTTTCCCAGGCCAAACCTTGACAACTGTATATAAACCTCGCACATCTGGGTAGCTGCTCCTCATTCAACTCACGCATCTTGCACCGAGCAGAATCTGTACCCCCGCGTACTACACCTTGCACACTTTGCACACCTTGCCTAACAGCACGTATAACTTGAACACTATGACCCCGTTATCATGGACTTACTTCCAGGATCGCGCCATTGACCGTCGGCGCGAGGCTGCACGGAAGCGGGTCTTCCAGGCTGCGCTTTTCGCTGCGGAGTGCTCCCGTGAGGACCCGGCATTCGATTGGGAGCATGAGAAGGAGTTGAAGAGGATGGCGGCCGAGGAGGAGGAGCGGCTCGCTAGGGAGCGGTGGGACAGCTATGTCAAGCCGCCTACCCTCGGCCAGGTCGGGCTGGGCTTGGACATGATGTTCGCGCCTCGCGGTACGTCTTCTCATTTACCCCTATTCCCCAGTCCAACTTCGAACTAGAACTGACTTGTCCCCTAGGCGCGTTCTCTACGCCTCGTTACGAGGTCCAGCCCGACCTTGCCGCACGGCCTATTGACTGGATGCGTACCAGCTTCGACGACATGAAGCCCCTCGCCGAGGTGCGGGAGGAGCTCAGGGCGAAGGAGCTGGTCCGTGTCTGCTCTGAGGAGTTCGACGGCGAGCTTTCCGTTCGTCTCCCCAGCCTCTCCGGCCGCAAGCTGCGCGTCGGGGAGTCTCCGCCGTTCTAAGGGAGCGGCGGAGAGCGCGCGGTAGTTGGCGTTGCCGCGCGGGGTGGTCTCATGCATTCGCAGACCCCCCGAACTTCATGAATGACGTTGATACAGCCGGCGATGATGAGCCGAGCTTCTTTGGTGGTGCATGGACATCGAGCGCGGCGTATCAGCTGGCGGCGCAGACGTGCGTCGCCCTGAGACTTCCGCGTTCGTTGACGGGGGCGTTCGGCGTCTCGCGTCGGGGATACCCATGCGGGGATCCTCACTGGCGAAGAGCGAGGCTGATCATCTCGCTCTGAGCTGCAACGCTTGTCATATACCTTTGGGCGTCTGGATCTTTGCTTGGTTATGAACCAGCGCGAGACGAGTGCGACTTTGCCTCGTACTTGAGGGCGGCCTATATCTTCTCAGATCTTGTCCGCACGCGGCACGATGGGTGATACCATCGGTAAGCCCGCGCGAGGTGGCCCTAAATCTTTCAACGGGTCCCTCCGGATGAAATGTAAGGATTGGATGGGTAGCTGGCGATGGCAAGCCATGCTACGAGTTCGATGGTGGTGCATGTACGGCGAGTGCGAGATACTAGTGGCATTGCGCAGACGTGCGTTGCCGTGGTGTCTTCGCACTCGCTCTTTTGGAGACGCTCGTCGTCTCCAGCTTCACGTCGGCGACGATGCTCTTGTGCAATTTCGTCAATGGCGACGTCTGGGGTAGATCTGCCTCATTCGGAGCCGCAACGCCCGTAACTCTTTACTTCGGGCGTTGGGATCTGCGCTGAGAATTGGTCGGCGCGAAGCAACCCAGAGTACGAGCCGAACGCCTTTAAGCTCTACTCTGGGTCTTTCCATACTTACTCCCCCTCCACATTCCTCCATCACGCGGTTTGCTGTCCTCTTTGTATCTCATGTGGTTTGTCTGCTTGTATCCTCCTCTACTTAGTCCCATTCTCCACATCCTTAATACTCCTACAAGGCGGTAGCGCAAAGCGTCGGGATGCAGCGGTGAGGGGGCGTGGCCGGCTACCGCGTCTCCAACATTCCTCTGCGTCTCGGCGTAGGTGTATGCGCCGCTTCTCGACATCGATCTATACGTACATCTCGCATCGTCTCTCCCTTTTCTCCCCATCTCCCCCATAGAAGGCGGTGGCGCAGAACGTCGGGGCACTGGGGTGAGGAGCGTGGCAGCCTGTAGGCCACCATTGTCTGCGATACTCTTCTTTTTAACGTTTGCCCACCCCACCGGGGGTCTCAGCCGCGCGGCCCCAGCGAACGTTAGCTCCGATACTCCCCTGTGTCTTCCCTGGCGTAGATGCATGCGCCGCCTTCTCCACTCTTTTCTTCTTTCTTTTTCTTTTTTTTGTCCCTCGAAATTGCCACGTGGCATCGATGTCTCATTAGAATGCACTCAAACATATTCTTTGGATTTCACATATTATGTTATACGAAGCGGGAGGGAACCCCGCCCACAGGTCAAGGCGCTTGTGAGTGCGGCATTTACCGGTCCAATCCACTGCCCGCCGGCATCATCGTCTCTTGAGCTTGAACCACCACCAATGGCTGCATGATCGCGCGATCTATATGAATACGCTGCAACTGTGTGCGCCAAACCTTTGCGAGTGATTCGGCTGCTTTCGACTTCTTGACTCTCGTAACGTACTAACGATAGGCAAGGAAGACACTCTTGTTTCTGCGAATCTGCCGGACGACTAACATCGTTCGCGGTTGTCAGTTTCACGACCACCTACAGACCAACCACGAAAGACGATTCAGAGACAACAAGCATATCGTGAATGTGATGTAGGGACCGAAGTATCTACCGACGTAGGTAACTCACTGGTGGAGCGTGTCGGCCTTTCTGGACGTTGTGATTAACGGAATCATCTATCTTCTGGCACCGACGTCTCATCCCTGAGCTGTCTTAATTCGAGCAGGCGGGCAAGTGATCTGCAAATCGTGCTAACCACCACACGCATTGAAGTCTCGGATCCCTTTCTGCACACGCGGTGGGAGTAAAAACTCACCTGTTGCCCTCTGTGCTCCAGTCTTGCCCTCGGCTCGGATACTGCTGGGATATTTCGAAGTCGGGCATGGCACGCTGCGAGCATCCAAATCGGCGTCCACATAGGAGGGTCAGGAGGCCTCATGTCCCTCTCGGTGCTACTTTTTCAGAGTACTCTCCGTCGTCTCCTGACTGAATGAATTCGTTTGGTTCCTTCTGAATTCGAACGAGCCTGGTCTCCCTCGAACACGCTAACTGAAGCAGTAACTTCTACTCCCGTCTCAAGACACACATCTTGGAACGGAGTACTTTACTCGCAACGCTCGCTCGTATATCTGCCCTCACCCCACATCGACGAACATGCCAGCCGCTCGTTTATCCGAAACCCCCTTGCTCGCGAGAGAAGCCGCCGCCGCCGTAGTGGCGCAGAGCTCGCCGGTCGACTCGGATTCGACAGACTATCGCATCTCACCAGCCATCGTCGTCGCTATCATCATCTGCAGCGCTTTCGCTTTCATCCTAGCTGCTGCTATGGCATTCTTCTTCTCCTGGCGTTCCGACAGGAGGACGAAGCGTACAACGAACATCAGCGCCGAGGAGCACGTCGACCCTCTCGACCGTTACACGCAGCCTCCGCGGCGACAAGACGAGAAGCGGTCGAAGCGCAAATGGTCATATTCATCGAGCACGACCTATACCACGGGCGATACGGACGCCCTGGACGGCGCTCCCGTGCTCTTATCATCTGCGCAGGCGGACGCGCTCCCTCCTTACTCCCCACCACAACTCACATCACTCCCGCTCGCTCGCACAACGTCTTCGCCGAGCATGTACTCCGTATCATCGACAACGGACGCTCCAGTTAGGAGCTCGCCTCCGCCGAACAACAGGCGCCGCTCTAGCAGCGTTCACCAGCTCGTCGACGTTGAGTCCGGCCGCGCGCCGTCGCAACCCACGCGCGTCTCACTCCCCCTGTCTCTGCGCCCTGCACTACCCTCGGCTCCGCCGCCTAGCCGGAATATGCGAGACAACATGACCGTCGAGCAGATGTTGGAGCTCATGCCGGATGCAAGGCTTTCGTACGCTGTGATGTTTTGAGGAGGAAATGATGGTCGTGCAAATGTAGCGGGGTGGTGGATGGAATATTCTCGTTCTTCCTTTCTCCGGGCTTTATGCAGTGCTTATATGGTCTATTCTATTGTATAGTACCCGTTCTTCACATATCTGTATGCGTATAATAGCCGCTCGTGCACATGACTGACAGCTCGCCTCGTGTGATATACGTTAGGCTGCTTTAACCGATACCGTCAACCCTTCAGGTCAAAGCCCCATCGGAGCTAAAACGCTATGCGGCACCAAAGGATGCTCGCAACGTCTGCAAACGGGGTGCCCGCCGTCGAGCATTGCGTTATGCCGACACATTGGGAGCTACCCTCTCTATCTCGATCCTTGACGGCTTGCCGACGTCTACAGACTGCAACTCGTGCTCGTCCGCGTCGTTCTCGTGGCTCAGCAGACCCTGCTCTAACGCAGCGTCTTCCGAAGCTCGGGTAGCAGTTCGTTTGGGCTCCACGTTGCTCTTCTTCGTGAGCTGTGGATGGACGTCTGCGTGTGATACAGCAATGAATGATATGAGAAACGTACTGCAACGTAGAGAGCACAGCTCAGGATGATGGCTGTGCCGACCATGGATAGTACAGTAGGCGATGTGCCGAAGCATATCTTCTCGAGCGCGATCGCAAAGACGACCTATACGAGCACTTCAGCATGTAATCCGCTGGCCAAATGTCACTCAAGGGCACCTACTCCGACATAGATCGCGAGAGTCGCTCGTCCGGCAGCCTCGCGCTGTAGTCCCATCGTGAAGAGAGTCTGAGCCAGGAAGCCACCAACGCCAATGACAACGAATAGGCCCCAAAAGTCCCATCGAAGAGGGATGAGAACCTGTTGGTGAGTAATCACCATTCTATGTAACGAGTGAGTGTGCGTGGTATGAATGACTACGTGAATCTGCTCACCCGATGCCAGCGACAACGCAGGATTGTGAGGCGAAGAAGGCCAATGAATGTAGCGGGTGGGCGCGTTTGCCAATAGCACGGATAGAGGTATCTGTAACGCGCATCAGCCTCCAGGTCACAACCAGCAGTGGTACACTTACATGCGCCCGTCTGCCCCACCACGCCGATGAGAGCCACTCTAAAGATATGGGTAAGGCTTGAACCTCAGACCCAGGAGAGGGAACAGACCCGACTGCAATCAGTCTCTCCTGAGGTGTGGCGCGTGAGGAAGACGAATCGTCTGTAGCAGGATCGGCGTGCGCGGCAGGTCCGAATAGGAACTCAGGTCGTGCGATGAGCAAGACGCCTACAAAGCTGAATACTGCCGTAGTCTTAGTAACGTGGATAGACATGCGCTTGTCGATAATACGCACATCCAGCAAGGAGTTCCTTCTTTGACAATGGCTCTTTGAGAAAGATCGCGCTCGCGATACCGGTGAAGATTGGAGTGAGGAAGGTAATTGCGGTCGCGTCGGACAGAGATAGGTAGCGCAACGAGTAGTATACACCGAACAAGCCAAAGAATCTGCACAGGTAATGATGAGCATGTCGTGAAATGATGATACTGGGGAATATATGCACCCGATGAAACCGCGGAAGACAAGCAGCAGGCGCACACCCTTCGGGCCCAGGAACGGATCCGGTACCTTCTTCCAGAACCTACCAAGCTCAGATTCAGGTCCATACATTGTTTGAGAAGGCTTACATGAAGCCAATGCAACAGACGTAAGTTACTGACTGCGTTCTGTTTAGCATAAGGCGTTCGTGTTTCTTTGAGTAGACGGAACGGTACCATTCGAACAAGCACAACCTGGCATAGCATCGTAATGAGTTACAGAATACCGGGTGTATGCACCATCACGCACTTGCAGGGTGGCTATCGGGGTATCAGTGTCCTTCAGCACCTTGATGCTAACGTTCACGAAGGCGAAGCATAGCTGGGCGAGCGCGACGAGTAGCAGCCCTGCGTTGAGATCCACGAGTCCCTGGAACGCATTCGCGTATCTACGGTATGCACCGCTACCAGTGACAGCGGCAGAAAGGCTGGATTTGGAGGTCGCGTGCCGCTGAATTGCCTCAGAATCATCCTCAACGTATCTCGGCGGGAAGGCGGTCGTCTCGGGCGTTAACGCCGTGTAACCGGCGCGTGTGGCCATCTGCGCGTTTCGCGTACTCGTTCGAGCAGTCAAGCGTCGTCGACGTTCAAGGGTAAGATAACAGGTAGTTCAAGCGTGCTTCGCGCGCCATTCCCACCAGAAAGCCTGGGAGGTCAGCCGCTGTTGACCCCAAGAGTCATGGCGGTCGTCGGCAGAGTGCGGTGGCGCGCGATTGCGCGGTTGATTCGCCTTCTTTCGTTCTCTCAACCTGACCGCGTGCAAGTTCGTATGAGCGCCTATAGACACTTCGTTCTGCAGTACGCTGTCTGTACCGCATAGAGAAGATGGCCACGATTAAGCGCCTGGGTATGCGATATTCGTCGTCCAATTTGAGTAGTGTACCCCGGACTTCTCCGGCTCCTTCCTAGTTCCCCGACTTCATCCGTACGAAGCGTAGGTGCCACACGACAGGCAGGCCCAACGTGGCTAAGCAAGTGCCCACATGGGTATACTTTCACCGACTATCCCAAAATCTACAAGCCTCGCCCGGTCCATCTTCTGCCGATTCAAAAATTTCCTGCTCAGCATCACCCGCCGCCTGACTGCCGCCCGAAGTTTTTCTTCACTTAAGGCAGGGGGCAACGATGGCTGCAACCGTCTTTGGCCGTCGCTTGTCTCCCGCTTTCATGAGCGCTCCATCATGGTATCCATTCTCCTGGACGTGCGGTTTCGTTAGGCGGTGCAACGAAGCTGCGTCGTCGGCCTAGACTGTACGATTTAGCTTGTTTCGGCCGACTTCTCCAGACCTCACGACAATCACTGGGAGGACTGAGTCCAGCCTGGGCATCGGCGTACCCTCATACGTCTACGGCGTGGAGGTCGCATTCAGTTCGTTCGACTTCTTAGGACTGCAGTCTGGACGACGCATACAGTACAAGGCCGCGAGGCCACCTCAGCGCTTGAAGACCATACCACGGGCTCCTCGGCAAGATCCCTACTCGCTGGCTCTACTCTCAACTGTCAAAGGCTATGGCGCCCTCGCCTGAACAGGCGCACTCTTTGCCTTTCATACGACAAGGTATAGAGTATGCCGTCGCCACCAAGCCCACTGCAGTAGACGACTGTCCATATCCCGCTAGACCTCGGCCGACTCTCCCACCTCCGCCCGGTCTTCTATTGCCAATCGCAGGGACCTCCTGGACGTCACGGCGATAGCCGACGTGGACCTGCACAGGTCCGCCGTCCCACTCTCAGGGTTGCAACTCCGACCCGATGGGGGACCAGCCTCCGTTCCGCTCGTCCCTCCGAGGCCCGCGCTTGCGCCCCGCGCAGAGCAGCGTGCCGCCCTTCACGCGGCCCGCATTCACCCAGAGACGCGGCGCGCTCCGCACCCACGCATCGAACGGCCCGTCTACCGACTGCGCCTCCCGCGGCACTATGCGCAACAATTATACGCGAACGACCCGCGGCCGATCTGAATATAGCGGCGAGATGGCCGGGAAATGTCCATGGAGTGCCAATTGCACGCGCCCGACATCTTCCATGCGCGGTCTCCGACTTGCGGCGCTCGCGCAACATGTTCCGCTCAGCCGACTCGGATTCGGAGGTCTGCTCCGCCTGTCAATGAAGCGTACTCCAACATGTCCCGCTCGAACTCCCAAGCCTTTCTGCTCCTTCGTATCCGTGTCCGAGACGCATCCGCATACAGCTCGGAGGCCCTCGTTCGGGCAGAAATCTCCCGCATCCGAGGCCTGTGCAAAGAGTGCAGTACTGCCCTCGGACCACTGCAAGCTTCTCGCCTTCTCCCGCCGGTCTCGTCTTCTCAGATCTCAGCGTCTGACGGCCGCCGCCATTTACAGCTTCTGAGATCTCTCACTGAGGGGCTGAATGGGGGAGTGCACAAGACACGCTATGCCGCCGCGAGCCAGGCGCCTTTCGCTCGAAGCCCTCACCTGACCTGACCTCACCACGCACGAGGACGTCGCGGCCCGCGTCCACATCTGCACCAAGCGCGCGCTGATCCTGCCACGCCTGTTCGCTACGGAGGCGAGTTAGCAGACGCTCGCCTGGGACTGGACCGGTCGATTCCGCGGGCGGCGTTAGTTGGTGTAGTGACCGATGGAGAAAAGGCCTGTTATGGCTTTCGATGGTACGCTCATGACTACGCTTCAGCGAAGGGTAAATGTAACGCTCGAATAGGAATACGTCGAGCCCATACACCGCGCCACCATCAGGTTCTGCGTTCCCAGTGCCGTCGGCCAGCGCGAACCTTCCGGTATACGCAGTACCGTAATAATGCAATGTAGCGCGCCTTTGGAGGTCCGCGGAGTTGGGCAGCGCAGGCGTCGCGGTCTCTTCTGTTGCGCGCGTTACATGACGGCAGCGTCTGTGGCCTTCCATTGAATCTCGAAGGTGCGCGTAGCCGTTTCTGTGTATATGCGCTCACAGGCGTCGCCCGTCGTACGATTGTTGCTGTTTGTTGTAGTCGATGTTGTTCTTGTTCTCGTTAAGCGATTGTATAGGATCGACAGTTCGCCTGTGTGCTTGTTCCCGAATATAGTCTGTCCTCGCCGTCGACCCTGCCTGCAGGTCGCGAAGCACGAGCGTATCGCCGCCCGTTCGTACGTACATCTGCGCGCGGACGACATTCCTTCTCCCCATTTTGTCCTCCGTTTCCCTTGAGTTCAGGCGTGCTCGTCAGAACGTCGTCAGCGCACCATCATCCTATTGCTATCCTTGCGATTGTACAGTGTAAGCACCTTCGGTCTACAGGCTGACGAGGCCAGTCGCGTCCCCCGTTCCATGGCGTCGTTGTACGTACTCGTTCGTCCTCCCTCTGATCCCGCCCGAGCCTGCATCTCCACGCCAATTCGACCTCCGCTCTCCGGTCGACGGTCGTCTCCGATCGCATCGACCCTCTGCGCGCTATGTCTCCCGCAGTGGCCCCCGCGCGCGTTCTGAGACTCAACTTGACTCTCCCCTGTACTGTATGTATGTTTGACACGACGCCCGAAAAGTCCGTGTCCGTACGACGCAGACTCAGACTCTCGGAGGGCCCGCGTGCCTCAGAGACTGCGGGCGTATGCTTCCGTTCTTTCCACAACATTCGCTCGCGTGCGGCGCGTCTTCCGATCGTGAACCTGCCTCCGCTCGTCCGACGCGGGCGTGCCGAAGTGCGCAACTTCAGCCCGCCGTCGTTCTATCTCATTACCTCTTGTGACATGCCTACATCTCTTCCTCTGTAAGAAGTAAGAAGTGTAGAAGCAGTCGTACAGGTGTAGAATACAGCACAGTCGTGAGCTCCTGAGCCCGGCCCGTCTCGTCTCGTCTCATCCGAAGTCCGATCGCGATCGATGTCAGTACGCACGACCCAGATCGCAATCAGATAGAGCCAAGACACTGACACCTGGTTTAGCCTTTACGGATCCGGAGGCAACGAAGTCGAAGCCCCTCGGTGCCACAGCGGGTGGGCTACTGAGATCACTGCTAGTGCGAGTGTGGCCCCGGCGCTCCAGGTGACGTCGAGGTCACGGCGGGTTGGAGGCGGTAGATACGAGAACGCCCGAGTGTTATTGGATTGGAATTTGAGTGTTGGAGAGGGCGGGGAAGGAAGGGGAAGAGGGTGGAAGGGATGGGATGGGGAGAGACGGCGGGCGCGGGAATGGCGCGGTGCGCATCGATCGCACCGCGCGGGCGCGCGCAAGAGCCGCCCCTTTCGCAGATCGTCGTCCAATCCCTCGCAACACAATACAGCGACGCAGTCGTACGTTGCCTTCCCTCGTCAAGTAAGGGTAGATGAAAAAAGATCGGGCGCGATACGATGTTTGAAGGGATAGTAGTAGAAAAGGCGTTTTCTATGGACATGGGCAATTCGTAGCGTAGTACTACTACAGTGGTGACCGTGAACGAAGCGTTTACTTTTGTTGCCGGAGGGAGGCAGGGAGTGAACGATAGCGAGGAAAGCGTACAGGGGGTTTCGATTCGGTAGAGACTGTTAGACGAGACGGAGGGGTGGGGGATTGGATTGAGGGTTCGTAGTCGTGAGTAGGAGGATAGGAGGTAGGGTGGGGGCGCACTGAGGATGATGAGGAGGGTGATGGGGAGTGGGGGAGGAGATCCGAGCAGACAGTTGAGGTCGTAGACGTATCAAGCAGCACAACTATAGACAAAGATAAGAGCGTCAAGAGCAAGCACGAAACAAAATGTATAAACACGAATTAAGTAGGTAGGCGAACAAGACATCCAGATACTTTTTATATCAAACACACGCATCGTGTTTGGCTTTTGTGAGGCGAAGCAGAGATAGAGGCGGAGGCAGAGCAAGAGACGAGAAGGCGTGAGACGGCGAGAGGCGAACCAGAACCGGGCGAAGTCCAGGCGCTCTAAGCATGCACCGCGCCCGGCTGCTGCCACGCGTACTGCTGGCCGTACCACCCCTGCTGCTGTTGCTGCTGGGCCTGTTGTTGCTGCGGCTGCTGCTGGACCGCCGGCGTCGTCGGCTGGCTGACAGGCACCGGCGCGCCCTGCCCGTTGACAGCCGCCATCGCCGCGGCAGCCTGCGCCTGTGCGGCCTTACGCGCGCGCCCGGTGTGGTGCTGCAGGCACTCGTGCTGCCCGGAAGCGAGGAGGCGGAGCCCTTCGGCGCCGTGCTCGCCCGAGTGCTGGTAATGGTACCGCAGGCCGTTCATGTTCTTGTACCGGCGCGTGCACTCGCCGACGGCACATGCGAACGGGCGCAGGCGGCGCTCGGCCTCGCGCTCGACTTCGCGCGCGTCGCTCTCGGAGAGGTCGCCCTCGGCGCTGAGGCCCTTCTCGGCAAGTAGAGCCTGGACGGCCTCGAGGTCCTTCGGCGGGGCGAAGGAGCACGAGCCGTGCGTCATGTGGTACTTGAGGCCGTTCGCCTGCTTGTACGACTTATTGCAATTGGGCTTGGGGCAGCGGAAGGGCTTAGAGAGGAGGAGCGAGGAGGCCGGGCGGGAGAGCGTCGAGCTCGCGCGCGAGGTCTCGGATGCGCCACCGGGTGTGGGCGGCGCGGTGCCTGTGGGCGAGGGCGTTTGCTGTGCGGGCGTAGAGGGTGCGGCTTGAGCGGCCGCTTTTGAGGTACCGGGCTCCTGCTTCACTTGCACGGCGTTGTGGCGACCGAAGAGCATCGCGGGCGCTACTGCGACGTCCTCGTGCTGGTGCTGATCGTGCGCCATTGCCGGGAACGGAGGGAAGTTCGCGTATGCTTGTGGTGCGCCGGCACGTGAGGGCAGGACGGCGGTGGTGTCGAATGCAGAGACCGGGCTGGGGCACGCGCTGGGCGGCTGGCTAGAGAGCGTGGAGTACGGCGCGGGCACGTAGGGCACCTGCGTCGCGATTGCGGGCACATAGGGCGGCGTCCTGGGCGGAGACGAGGCAGACGAGGAAGGAGGGGACTGGTCGTCGAGCTCCATGTCGTCGGCGGGGTCGAAGCTCTGCGGCTGGGGCGCCGGACCGGGAGCCGGGTAGTTCATGTGCTGGGGGTGCTGGGGGTAGTGGGCGGCCATGTGCGGGAGCTGGTTCGGGAGGAGCGAGGGCTGGTGGGGCGCGGAGGGGTCGATGACCACGACGTGCGCCTCCTCAAAGTGCTCGACGAGCGCGTGCAGGTCGCTGAGGTTCAGCCCGCAGCACGTGTAATTCCGGCACTGGGCTCTCATCAGCTTACGGTATAGATGGGATAATGGACTGCGGAGTGCTCACAAACTCGTCCTGGGTCTGCATGAACGCGCCGCGATCGCTCTCGATGGACGACGACAGCTTGCCGCTGTTCGGGTCGAAGCTGCCGAACAGCTGGCTCGGGGACGTGCCGGGGTACAGGCGCGTGCCGAAAGAGGAGCCTGCGCGCCAGGAGACGGGGGAGCCGAACATGGCGCGCGTGTACGAGGCCGGGTTGAAGGCCTGGCCGTGGCCCGGGCTGGCCATCGCGACGTCGGCCGCGTGGCGCTGCTGCTGGTGAAGCTGCTGGGAGGGGGGAGCGGCAAAGGAGATCGGTTGCGCAGAGGAGGAGGCCTGCATGGTGAGAAGGGGAGAGGGTGCGAGGTTGGCCGTCCAGAATTCTGAACCCGCGGGTCTAATGTACGGCTTACTCTAGCGCTCAGGCACACCGGGTCCACCAACAGGTCCACCGCCCGGTCCACAGTCCACAATACCCGTGTACCGCGCTTTCATTTCCTCCTCTCAGCCCACAGTACCCGCTCTTTGCCGCAATAGTAGCTACAGTACATGTCCCCCCATCAAACGATAAAATAAGCTACCCACATACGCCCCTCCTCAGCGGGTCAATCCCCACAATCCAATCCGCGTGCGCCCATAAACACTTCCGGGCCCATCCAGTTCTGCATCCGCCAGCTCCGACCCAGCGCACGACTCTGTCTGACGCGCGCCGCCCGACCTTCGATGCTCCCGCCTGGGTCACAGTCCGACTCGCGCGTCGCCTCCTTGAGTCTCTCGTCGGTCCCGCGCCGAAATCCCAAGAGCCAATGGGCGCTCCGCGTGGAGGGGAAGCACGCGGATCACGCTCTGGGCGATCCCCATCACGCAGCGCCTGGCTGTACTAGGATCATTGAGACAGCTCTCAGCACTGGGCAGCGTGGAGAGTACGTTGTCCGTGTACGAGAGACTGGCAAGCCGCGGGTGACGGCGATAATGCGTTCCAACTTACGAATTGGACTTCGCGTGCGCCTCGAGTCTGACGATGCGGGGAGTGCTTTGCGCCCAGATGAACGTACACCGGGGGAAATGTCGGGCTGGCGGGGCGGCTGTCGGGACGACTAGCGCGCCGATGAAGTGGTGGACGCACGCGGTGCGCAGCGTGCGTTGGGAGCTGTGGCGCGTTGCGGTTCTGACCGTCGTCGTCACCGGGATACTCGTCGTGTGATCATTAATCGTGTATCCGTGCAGTACAGATGTCCGTGCAGTAAGTAATCGAACTGAGCTATACGGCGATCTTGTCAGATATCGATGTGCTCACTGGGGAGAAGAAGTGCTTACGGTGATCATGAGGAGGACCTGGGATGCGTCAACGGTGACAGCAGCTTCGGTCATCAGACTAGAGAACACCGGGCCCCCGACGCCCGCGTACGTGTCACAATGACAAGCCACAATGTCAGCAGCACGAAGCGAGCTCATCATGCTGGACAGGCATCACGAGCACATCGCCGCCGCCTTCACGTACGTCCGGCGCGTCTTGCAGCCATCGGCAGCGACGCTAGTGGTTGGCGTGCCCGATGACCTCGAGCCAGGCAAGACTAAGGAGCTGACTACGCGTTTCTGCCGTACGAGCGAGGATCGCTAAGCCTGCCCCGCTTGTAGGCCAAGAGAGACTGAATGCTATGATCCCGAGCGCGAACTCCGACCGCGCCACCACAAAGCTGTAAGCGCGATTTTGGGCACGAGCGGTCGGTGGTAGGTCGATTATGATCGCCGATTGGATGGTGGATGGATCGTAGATGGGTAGAGATGAATTCGAATGGATGGCATGAGACAGGTTCCCGTTCGCAGTGTAGATGAAGGAGGTGCCTTCATCCGGTCAAGTAGCCTTCGATACGCTCAGGAGATTGGTTCATGAAGCTTCATGATTGCTGTACCACACCGAATAGCGCGATATGGATATAGTGCTGGCGTATATTGGATCGTCGTGGACCCTTGTTGAACAGATATTGATGGAGATTGTCTCCAACTGCGCGCAGGGTCCTCATCCGAGTCAAGCAGTCTTCAAGAGTATCCCGCTCAACACCCAGCATCCTAAACTCTGGATAGAGTATCGATCCAATCCAGCCCAAGCAGCAAACCCGTGCTACCCGCACGTACAAGCGAATCAAACAATATCGCATCAGCCGTCGGGCTTCTGAGATGTAAAGAAGACGGTTGGTCCGCCAGGTCCAGCTCGAGCCTCGCATGCCCCCCGCCTGCAGGCCAGTACAACAGCGTACTCTACCTTCTTCAGCGCCTACTCAATAGCTTAACAGCACGTTGTATCCGAGCTGCCTCGGCCATGACGCCGACATCGCGCACTCGAGTCCTGAACGAGTAGCGGCCACTTCAGTCGCACTGATCCCAAGGTCGCATCCCGGATCGATAGATAATCGATGTGCGCCACATCTAGGCTAAACGGCCTTCGTCAGTCAGGACTCAGGACCAGTCCTGCAGAACCCGCGGGCGGAGTTTGAAAGAGGGGAATAGTGGGAAGGAAGTGAGGGTGCGGCCTGCTGATGGGATCTGGTAGCTCGCCGTTCGCGCTTCGATGGCCGTGGAAGGAAAGGAAGGTCGAGAAGTTGGGACGGGCGGGACGCGAGACAAAGGACTCGATTCTCGGGCGCCTGCACGGTGGGGGTGCGTATTTCGAGTGTGCAAGGCGCATATCATATGTCGGACACAGTAATGGTTGGAAGTTGCGATCAGTGCTTTGGCCTTTCATTTGTTGTGGGGAATGCGCGCGCCCTCGAACGCTGCGGAGTACACGAGGGGGAGGCTCGAGGCGGTATAGTCGGTGAAGTGAGGTGCTGCGGGGTTCATGTTCTTCTTGGAAATGGACCTGAGGCTCTCACTGTGTGTCCGCCTCGGCGGAGACGCAGTGCCACATGCAGTATCATAGCTCGTGCATGTGCGAGAAGCATACACTCGATGCTCTTTTACGTCGTTCGTTATAGTCTCGAGGACGCCGCATACAGCCCTCTGCCCAGCGGACGCCGACGTAGATCGAGTCAGCCAAGCGGGAACAGTATCAAGCTTTTGGTGTTCCCACTCAGAAACAACGCGTGTCCCATGCTCGTCGATAGAAGTGGAGAAGGACGCGGTGATGAGCTCGAGTGAAAGCAGAATGCGTATTCAACAGAACCGAAGAGTCATCATCGCGCGGGGAAAGCACTCCGGCGGCCCGCACACCGACTCCTGAGCGACTGGCATGAGTAGACGCAAGGCGAGCCGCGCCGCACACGTCTTAGATGTGCGTTCGTACCACGTACTAGAACACGCCAATGAGAAAGCTTCGACTACACGAGAGTCAAAGGAAGAACAGAACGCAAGGGATAGGGATGGAGAAGCATAATGATAGTAAGAGAAGAACTGCTCGCAGGCCACGCACAACGAGCACTGAACATTGCGTGCGACGACGATGAACCGAGCGGTCGGCTCGAGGCTGTTCTCGGGATCTGCCGTGATGCGCCTTGGCCTTCGCGCGCCTTCGCGTTCTGACCCACACACACGCGTACGCAAGCGCACTCGCAAGCGCCGACCGACTCATCCTCGACGGCCATGACCCACCGAGTCACAGTGCCCATGGACCGCGCCCCGTGTCCCGCCGTCGCGCCGACGCCGGCATGCTCCGGCTCATCTTCGCGCGCATAGCGCAGAGCTTACGACACCGCCCCGCGCGCCTCCCCTCCCCGTTTCGCATACATACGCCTTCTCCTCCACCGGCGCGCGGAGCTAGCGTCCGCTTAGGGCGACTTGATGCATGACGCGTCGCTCTTATGAATGCGCTGTACTCGGTTCCGCGATGTACTGTGTGCTTCTGCCAGAATCCGATGGTTGCTTGTTGCTTGCGCAGCCATGGGTGTACGAGGACGCTCTATGTCGGGTCAGGAGAAGGGCGGTGGCGGTGGGCTGAAACGCGGCTGGAGGCGCGCGCGAAGCCCGGGGAGATCGGATTCATGTGCGAAGAGGTGGATTGGCTGGATGGATGAGGTGGCACGATGGTTGTGGCCCACTCTCCATGCGCACGAGCGGTCTTGGTCGGCATATGCTGCGAACGAGTACTCTACAAGAATGATGGATTGACGTTGTGCTTGAACTCTATGGAGCATTCCGAGTCGGACATGTTTGAGGTTGAACGTTGAGCGACGGACAACGAGAGTGATCTACGTTGACCACCCGGTAGTGGAGAGCGGGAGATGATAGATGAACGTCTATGCCTAGCATGGATTGCTATGGACGAATGCAGTCTTCAAGACTACGGTCTTGCCGATACCCGTATCGCCGCGCGCTCCTACTCGCATTGCATAGCAACGGTGTGAGATTTGTATGGCCTGATGAGGAGATTGAGACTGTCCAATGTTGGAGAGGCAAAGATAGCAGTCTTCGACCGACCTCGGACTGACCACAGGCGACTATGCACCACCGGGTTCACGACCTGATCTCCGTTCGCATTCGGACATGCTAACTTGACGCCGAGGTTACTGAAACTAAAGTACCGGCAAGAGCAGGCCCACTACCGTCTCATTCCTCCTCCGGTACGCAGCTCTGCACGCATGCCGCAGCTACAGGTCTACGCCAGACATCCTTTGAATGCAGGCGTCGTCAGCTTCCCCGCGTACGCTATGTTTCGATGTTTCGTCGTACGCCACCTCCTCATCCTCCGCGTGTGCCCCGCTTAATCCATTCGTGTATGCTAGGGCACCGGCGATCACTGCCAGCGATGTTACATGTTGACTGACATGCTTCTCTATCCCCATACAGAGCGAACATACTCCGTCAGCAACTCGGCTTAACGGAGATGGCGAAAGGATTGCGACGTAATCGCCTGGCGTGTGTGCAGGATGGTGTACGCCTCGGCGTAAAAACTCACAGCGCTTTCCATACGTACCTTGATTGTGAGTTATCACGTCCTGCAAGAAATCATACCGTTTATCCATATCTGCATCTATGTAGGCAGGTGACAACAAGAGCACGTTAGCCAAAAGAAAGCGTCGGGACGTTGTACTGAATCTTGTTGGCGTTTAGAGGTGAATATGGACGACTCGGCGACTCTCTGTTTGCTCATCCCATTCGTCAGGCTCGCATGACTAGCGCAGATCCCACATCATCATCACATAGATGTTCTTCCTTCTATTGAATGACGACAGTAGAAGAAGCGTCCCTAAACGTGCACTATGCGTTTTGCTAGGACAGTTTGTACCTGGCGGCGTATTCTGACCCGGGTAGATCTGCTCGGGCCACCCTACTCGGCTGCGACACTCGCCTTCAGAGCAGCACCTCCCGTACCTCGTACGGAACGGCTTTATCGCAAACTGCAGGCA